CCAAAGTTCCCCCCCCCCCCCCCCCAACCCCACCATCTCGCCAAGGGAGGTCGGTCGACTCGCCGATTCCGCAAACGATTATCGATAACCGTTCGATGACCTTTTGGTATATTTTTTCAAAAAAAAAAAAATTTCTAATTTTTTAACCCGCAACAAATTTGTCACCGGATAGAGATAATTCAGAAAAATGTCTAGGATAATCAATAATAATGACGTCATCTGAATGCAACGCTGTCAGTACGTGGGAAGAAAATAGTTCGCGTCGTCGCGTCATGCAAACAGGTAAAGTCGCAAGTGCAAAAACTGTGGCTGAAAAGGTTTAAAGGTGACTGCACACGTGCGCGATACGTTTGAACAAGTGCACCATAATGTCGTCGCACAAAGTGAAACCCGTGCGAAACTCGACTTTATCCCGCAGCTGAGCTCACGCTCCGCTCGCGTCCTTTTCAACTGTCGGCCTTCCGTCGCGACGCTCGCTAATTTATGGGCCGACATCCCGACGCGCGATTGTGCGTCTGCACCTCGGCCGCCCCGGTCGCAGCTGCAGTTACAGTGGATAGCATTGAGAGAAGCAACGTGGGTGCATGCGTGACGTCACTGTACCGATAAATGCATCCCTTCAAGGATTTTTGCAAAAAAAAAAAAAAGTAAATAAATACCTAAAACGTCACAGTGAAATTTCGCGAGTCGACGCCCTGACGGAATGCGTCGCGACGTTCGCAATATTTTCGTTAACCATCGCGACGTTCTGCAAGCAATGGCGGACGAACGCTGCGTGTGTCTGTACGCACGTGCCTTGATTTATCCCCATGTAATTAAAAATTATGCTCGAATACACTTTTGTATGCCTAATTGTTCATAATTCGTTGGTGTAACGTTGACAAAGTGGAAAATTGGTCAATAAGATTTTTCGAGGTATACAAGGGCAGGATACTGTAGAAAAAAAAAATTTAATAAAATGAAAACGAAAGGAAACGACAAACGAATAATCCGTATACGGGATACATTGAAATACATGTCGCGTTTGTTACCAGCGGAGCGAACGAGATGCCGGGAAGCAAAAAGGGTAAGGTGAGAAAAACAGCGAGGTAAAGATACACGTGGAAAGACAGCATATCGAAAATACACAGGGTAAATTAACTTCGAGCATACATTCAGCCGTTCAGGTTGAATGTGACAGTAGGACAATTTGACAGCTGTCAAATACGATCGTCTCAGTTGAACGACACAGAGCAGTCCAAAGCACGTGGTGTCCATGTATACTGGCGAATTCGATTCAACGATACGTACGTCCTTCTCCGACGCACGTGAAGACGCATAAGATCGTCTCTCTCGCACCCGCGGCAACCATAGAAAACTAGAAAAACAACGAAAGCAAAAAAAAACCGATAAACACGAATCGCGCAATTTTATTACTAACTTGAATTGCCTATAAATGGTATACGCTACATAGGTTGACATACGAGCATATGAAACATGCACTGTAGAGTACCTACTGACACGTGAAAAAGTGCTAAATTAAATATTCCCTCGTCTCCCATAACCATCGTTCGCTGAGTCGGGATAAATTTTCCCCCAAATTCGAAAGCAAATAAAACAATTAAAATTCCTCTAAAAAGAGTACTATCGACTTTCCGATTAAATGTGAATCTAGTGTCGCGTATAAAAAAAAACGCGTTACCGAAAATTTAAAAAAATTCCAAAATGAAAAATACCAAAAAATGATGCTTATAACCCCCTTTTAACGGGAGATGAAAAATTAAGATAACCACTGATTAAAACTGATAAACTACCTCGGGCGTAAACGCATGACCGATATTTTGTCCAATCTGTACAGCCGTCTATCTCCATTTTGAAAAACAACCCCGATATCGGATTATCGAAAATTCTTATCAATTCGAAAGCCCAGAAACGCTAACCCTTATCGCACGATGCCTCATACCGGCACTTGGACGTCACCCAAGAGGGCAGCGCGCCGGTTCGATGAAATTAACGACACGACCACCCTTGCTTTCTGGCGAGGGGTAGATACAGTCCGGATTTCATTTGCGGTCCATTAACAAGGGCCGAAGGGCGAAAAACGTTCACGTGCCGTCCGGCAGCCTAACAGGCGACCCGTACTTATCGAATGACCCAGCATCCCCTAACACGCTCGTGGTTATAAATCCACCCCGTATATATTCGTGGAAATTCCGATTTTCCCTACATCGCCCCCTTCCCCATCGCCCCTTATACGTCAACCCCCCTCCGATCCTTGTACGATACCACGCAAAGACAATATTTAGCTATACGCAAAAAAGAAATTCACGTTACATCCCCCAAAAAAATTTTTACAACCCCTGCAACCACTTTCGTGAAATTCTGTAAACCAACAAATTTCATATTCCTCCCCTCCCCCCCCC